GGAGAAGGGTGCAACAATGAATGAATGGAATCCCAAAATCTCTGTAGATGTTCATTGAAATGAAAAATAAACAACCTAAATTTAAAAAAAGAAGCAAACAAATTTAAAAAAAAGAATTTTTAAAGTATGTAATGTGGATTCAATAGCATCATTACATTTTCTCAGAAATAAACATCACCCTACTATAAATTACACAACAAGAAATTCCCAGCTACTGGTGGAATATATTACTAATTTATTGCAATAATGATCTGGTCTGTGCTTTAAAGTCAATTCAAACTGATAGTTATCCTTCATTTGCTTTCTAAGGCTGTCATGTTACTGTATTATTTTTTCTCACTTAGAACTGCTGGTGGATTCAAACCATCAGTCTTTTTGTTAGCAGCACAACATGCTATACACTATGTCACCAGTGCTTTTATATAAATAATAGATTTTTAATATGCTTTAAATCTGAATATCCACAGATGATAATGAGTGTGAAAATTCAACCCAGCCCTGTGGTGAAAATGCCAACTGCACCAACACAGAGGGGAGTTACTACTGTATGTGTGCACCTGGCTATCGATCCAGCAATAACCAGGACAAGTTTATAACAAATGATGGAACAAACTGCATTGGTAAGATTCATTTTCTAATTTAAAATAACTTACTTGTGTATTATTATGTATTTTTACACACACACGGGAGAGAGAGAGATGAACAACACTAGCTATGAGATCTTGCATGACAATAAATAGCTGAATAAATAGTAACACTTTAAAATCTTATACAAGCACAAGAAAATTCCTCTTTATATTATAATATGTTGATCTTTTATAAACATGTAAACTGAAATGATACTCTTATTTTCTTCAATACATTTTCAGAATGCTATTATCTTTGCAAAGAATGTCCTAGTGTTTTTGTTATTGTCTAGCAGAAAGTCACACTTGAGATCTGTGCTTTTATCTAAAAAAAGTTATAGTGAGAAAATTATGTCAAGCTAATAAAGTGTCATCTCCTGTAAAAGTAATCTCATTTCAATTTCTAAATAAGTGAAGTATTAGTCTAGGCAAAGGTATCTAGAAGAATTTTGTTGTTATTATTAGGTGCTGTCAAGATGGTAATGACTCATAGTGACTTATGAACAATAGTTCGTAACCTTGTGGTTCTCCAGCACCACCCTCATACTCTCTGTCATCCTTAATATAGCATTTAATAATAGATGTAATGTAATGTAATTTTATTACAATTTATCAGGTTTTATAGAATTAGAATTATAATCTGAAGAAATAAAGATGGTTCACACACTTCAACATTTGAACAATTTCCACAGGCAAATTCTTTGGAAGTCAAGAATTTTACTTAGAAATTAAATTGAACTATAAATCATTTCAATCAATGTTTGTAAAAGTTATAAAATCTACCAAAAACTTTTAAAATTTATTATTACTGGACATAATCTATAAATGTAATAGATGAACACAGAATCAAACATACATTATATACATGAGTAATGAACTGCCACTAACCTGACAAAAATGTTGCTTTGTGCTGTTGAGTTGGAACCAATTCACAACAGACCCTTCAGTGGATTTAAAGATGCTGCAAATCTCACTGGAGGCAATTGTCCATCTTTCTCTCTTGGAGCAACTGGAAAATTCAAAGTGCCTGCCTTTGAGTTGGCAGTGTAACTCCTTACCCACTAGACCACTGCAGCTCCCTAGACTGCTATAAAAAGAGATATATTCAAGTAAATGAAAATCACAATACAAACTTTGTATCTCACTGTATTATTAACCAATGATAAATTAGGAGTTAATACTAAAAAAATCCATAATATCATTGTCAAGCAAATAATTAGGAGTTAATACTAAAAAAACTAATCCATAATATCATTGTCAAGCAAATAATTCAATATTACGAGCCTATGGTTGTTAATAACCGGGCTTAGAAGGGATATGTTGTTGTCCTGATTTTATAATCAACAAAGCAATACCTGCTTCAGTGTCAGTTATTCAAATTTAAAAGCTGATCTAGAATCACAGTTTTGTGTTGTGAAAGTTATTGTTATATCCATAGTAGAATTCAATAGGCAAATTATTTAAATCTAACATATTAATATAAATCAATAGTTGTTAGGATGTAAATATAAAATTCTAGGAAATAATGCTGTTCTTTTGAACTATAATTTTATTCTTAGTATTTGTAACAAGTATTGTAAGACTATAAAAACGTGAAATACTAGAAAATATAGCTACTTCCTTAGTATTTGTGGTACTTTTAAAATATAACATTGAAGCATATACATTAAATAAGAATCTATAAAGTTCAGCTTAGAAAACATAGCCATGAAATTGAACCTGTTGCCGTTGAGTCAATTTCAATTTACAGAGACATTTAAGGGCAGAGTAGAAATTCTCCTTGGAATTTCCAAAGCTATAATCTTGATAGAAGCGAATTGTCACATTTTCCTCCTTTGGAGGAAGGTAGAACCTCTTAACTTTCTTTTTTATTATTAAATTTTATTAGTTTTAATGAACATTTACAGAGATTTTGGGTTTTCATTCATTCATTGTTGCACTGTTTTCTCCGCCTTCATCCCCAGTTCATTCTTCCCCCCCCCCATGTCTGTTTTAATTGTCCAATTGCCACAGTGCTTGTCAAAGCCAGTTCTGATTAATCTCCTTTGTCAGTGTGTCCCTTGCCATTCCCTATCACTCCTCCCTGAGAGAGACTTCACCCTGATTCATAAGGAAAAGGGGATGGCGTATTCTCTTAGCTACTTCCTGCTGAAAAGGGACGCTCTGGGTTTCAGGGTGAATGTCTTCTCTCACTACTCTAAAGGGCCCCCTTGGCTGTAGGAAACACATAGACTATTATGGAGATTGATTTTAGAATTTAGATGCACTGTTATCAATTGTGCTTAGCTGTACATGTTCATATCCTTGAAGATGTATCATGGAAGTGTTGCAGCCTAGAAGATACAACGTTAACAAACAAGTTAAAAGTGCATGAGTCAAAAATTGAAAAGCAATAATATTCTGAGTAGAGCAGAACCTCTGAACTTTCACTTCGCTGGGGAGTGCTTAACTTCTGTAATATCAGGGATCTTTCCAAACATTCATTGCACCTCATTTTTTTTCTTTTAAGTCTTTATTATTGATTTTGATATCGACAGAATACTATATTAGGTTTTCTGGTGCTTTTTTAATTTTTGATAAATGCTAATGATGTAACTCTTTAAGCTTTGGGAGCTCTGATGGTCTAGAGGGTAAGGTGCTGTATTACCAACACAAAGGCAAATGATTCAGACCTAACCGCTGCTATGTTGAAGAAAGATGGGCAATCTCCTTTTGTGCAATCTACAGCATCTCAAAACCTGCTAGTCATCTACGAAGTGGTTCAAAATTGAGGGCACATAACAACACACTTTAAGCTTAAGTAGGAATCTTATAGCTAGTGAAGTTATAATATTTAATCATTAGAATCTCGGAAAATTTTGAGCATTCTCTTCATTTCTTAATGTTTTTTTTGCCTTGAGATGGTATCTGTCTTTTCATCTGATCATATGTACTGCTAATACACTTATATTCAAAAAGGATTTTATTTCACTATTTGTTTATTATGAGCAGAGAATTCCTACATTAGACACAACTGAGTCACAGTCACCAAGGATGATGGAATGCAGACATTTTTATAGAGCTTTAAGGAAGGAGAGGAAGACCTTTAAGAGATGGGTTGAAACGGTGACTTCAGCAATGAGCTGTAGCATGTCAGAGATGATGAAGATAGCATAGGATAGGGCAGGGTTCAGGTCGACTGTTCATAGTCTCTGTGACTCTTACTCAACTCGATGGAAGCTAACAACAACAAAAGGAAAAAGAAGTGTATTTACAGGGAGGTCTGGTGACCTAGTAGTTAAGGATTTGTTCTGCCAACTCAAAAGCAAGACATTCAAATCCACTAGCTGTTCTTTGGGAGAAAGACATGCAATCTCTTCCCTTGTGGTTTGCAGCTCTGGAAACCTGCAGGAAAGTGCGCTCAGTTTGTTGTGACCTGATGGCAGTGCATTATTTTGTCTTTTAAGTGTATTTGTAAATTAAGACTTTTTCTTAATACTTGTTAATATTTAGAAAATACACAATAGCCATGATTTTGTGCTAATTTGGTGTTTGGGTTTTGTTGGTGTTTTTTCTTTTACTTTTTAAAAATAACCAGTGAATATAGTACCTGTATTAGAACCCAGTATACAGTATTGAGTACACCAGTTCCTGCCAGTTTTATTTGATGGATTCTTAAGAAAAACTCACTCTCTGGACAAAAGAAATGTTATATTTTGCTAGTTTTGTGGTCTTTAAAGATGAAATGTGTTTAGAAATAGTACAACTATTTCTTTTTTTTCATACTGTAGTAATATTTCTTGTTTACTTTGATAATCCTCAGGGATTTTGAACAGAGAACCACAAATCTCTTTCACTTTTTACATTAGTATATCACCTTGTAGTGTATTGCCTCTGAGTTAAAGTTGTAGCAGATCCCTAAGTTTGATATATCTGGTAATTACAGTCCTTAAGAACCTCTGTAAATAGGAAATGAAAACCCCCTAAGTCAGGGCAAGAAGAGACCCAAGCAAAATGCTTTACTTTTAGCACACGTTCAAATATATTGCTAGAGATAAGAAAATTTTGCTTCTCAGACTTTGTGTAAGAATTTTTGTTGGGTGCCATCCAGTGAGAATTAGCAGCATGCATATTTTTTCTTCCCTTGGAATCAAAGTGTTTTAGAATGAAAAAATGCTGAGCAATTGGTATACTGGTTAGAGTTGGTCATTTCACCAATGAAAGAATAGAGACATTCAATGAAGTGACCCTCTCAAGGCTGAATGGATAGAATGCACAAATGTCTTGGTCTGTATTTTGCACTTTGGAGAAGCGTTTACTGCTTATAATATGTTATAACATACTTCCCTTTAATTGTTATTATTGTTATTATGAGCCACCGAGTCACCTGTGACCTATGTACACAGCTCTGAAGCTTGCTCTGTCTTGAGCCAGTCTCACTGATTCTAACACACCATCCCCCTTTGCCTCAATTACTGTATCGACCCATCTCATCTCAACATCTCCTGTTCTGTCTCTCATCCTTTCCGAGAACGATGTCTCTCTCCAAGGATCAGTCTCTCTTGGTCATGTGCCCAAATGATGTGAGACAGCACTTCAAAATCCTAGTTTCTAAGGAGAAACTTGGTTTCATCCTCTCTAAGACAGACCTATGTGTTTTCTTGGTGGTCCATGTTATGTTCAAGATTCTCCTCCAGCACTACAATTCAAAGGCATCAATTATTCTTCTGTCATCTTTAATAATTTTCCTGCTCTCTGATGCATAGCAAGCAATTATGAAGACCATGGCTTGGGTTAAGCATACCTTAGTCTCTAGACTGATATTGTTGCTTTTCAATACTCAGGAGAGGTCCCTAACTGCAGCTTTTCACTATGAAATTAATCTTTTTATTTCCTGACTGCTGGTGCCAAGAATGTTGATGGTGGAGCCAAGCAAGTGGTGATTGTTAACTACCTCAATCTCTTTTCCATCTATCATGGTGCTGCCAATTGACCCATTTGTAAGAATCTTTGTC